TTAATGTACTGTTGGATCCTATTGGCTAGTATTTTGGTGAGAATTTTTGCATCCATGTTCATCAGGGATATTGGTGTGTAGTTCTCCTTTTTGATGGGGTCTTTGTCTGGTTTTGGGATCAAGGTAATGGTGGCCTCATAAAACGAGCTTGGTAGTTTTCCTTCCATTTCTATTTTTTTTGAACACTTTCAGAAGAATAGGTATTAATTGTTCTTTAAAAGTTTGGTAGAATTTCCCTGGGAAGCCGTCTGGCCCTGGGCTTTTGTATGTTGGGAGATGTTTGATTACTGCTTCAATTTCCTTACTGGTTATGGGTCTGTTCAGGTTTTCTATTTGTTCCTGGTTCAGTTTTGGTAGTTTATACTTCTCTAGGAATGCATCCATTTCTTCCAGATTGTCTAATTTACTGGCATATAGTTACTGGTAATAATTTCTAATAATTGTTTCTATTTCCTTGGTGTTAGTCGTGATCTCTCCTCTTTCATTCATAATTTTATTAATTTTGGTCCTTTCTCTTTTCTTTTTGGTAAGTCTGGCCAGGGGTTTATCAGTCTTATTAATTCTTTCAAAGAACAAGCACCTAGTTTCGTTGATCTGTTCAACTGTTCTTTTGGTTTCTATTTCATTGATTTCTGCTCTGATCTTTATTATTTCTCTTCTCCTGCTGGGTTTAGGCCTTATTTGCTGTTCTTTCTCCAGCTCTTTTAGGTGTAGGGTTAGGTTGTGTATTTGAGACCTTTCTTGTCTCTTGAGAAAGGCCTGTATTGTTATATACTTTCCTCTTAGGATTGCCTTTGCTGCATCCCAAAGATTTTGAACAGTTGTGTTATCATTTTCATTTGTTTCCATGAGTTTTTTAAAGTCTTCTTTATTTTTCTGGTTTACCCATTCATTCTTTAGTAGGATGCTATTCAACCTCCATGTATTTGAGTTCTTTCCAACTTTCCTCTTGTGATTGAGTTCGAGTTTCAAAGCATTGTGGTCTGAAAATATGCAGGGAATGATCCTAATTTTTTGGTACCAGTTGAGACCTGATTTGTGAACTAGGTTGTGATCTCTTCTGGAGAATGTTCCAAGTACACTAGAGAAGAATGTTTATTCTGCTGCTTTGGGATAGAATGTTCTGAATATATCTGTGAAGTCCATCTGGTCAGTGTATAATTTAAAGCCTTTATTTCCTTGTTGATCTTTTGCTTAAATGATCTGTCCATTTCAGTGAGGGGGCTGTTAAATTCCCCTACTATTATTGTATTATTGTCCATGTGTTTCTTTGATTTTGTTATTAATTGGCTGCTCCCATGTTAGGGGCATAGATATTGAAAATTGTTAGATCTTATTGTTGGATAGACCATTGCCAAAGGCAAGGGAAGCAAGGGTAAAAATGAACCATTGGACTTCATCAAGATAAAAAGCTTTTGCACAGCAAAGGAAACAGTCAACAAAACCAAAAGACAACCTACAGAATGGGAGAAGATATTTGCAAATGTCTTATCAGATAAAGGGCTAGTATCCAAAATCTATAAAGAACTTATCAAACTCAACACCCAAAAGACAAATAATCCAATCACAAAATGGGCAGAAGACATGAACAGACACTTCTGCCAAGAAGACATACAAATGGCCAATCAACACATGAAAAAGTGTTCAACATCTCTCGGCCTCAGGGAAATACAAATCAAAACCTCAATGAGATAGCCCTTCACACCAGTCAGAATGGCTAAAATTAACCAGTCAGGAAAGGACAGATGTTGGCGAGGATGTGGTGAAAGGGGAACCCTCCTATACTGTTGGTGGAAATGCAAGCTGGTGTAGCCACTCTGGAAAACAGTATGAAGATTCCTCAAAAAGTTGAAAATAGAGCTACCCTATGACCCAGCAATTGCACTACTGGGTATTTACCCCAAAGATACAAATGTAGTGATCCGAAGGGGCATGTGCACCCCAATGTTTATAGCAGTAATGTCCACAATAGCCAAACTATGGAAAGAGCCTAGATGTCCATCAACAGATGAATGGATAAAGAGGATGTGGTACATATATACAATGGAATATTATGCAGCCATCAAAAAATGAAATTTTGCCATTTGCAGTTATGTGGATGGAACTAGATGGTATTACGCTAAGCAAAATAAGTCAATAGAGAAAGACAATTATCATAAGATATCACTGATATGAGGAATTCTTAATCTCAGTAAACAAATAAGGTTGCTAGAGTGGAGGGGGCTGGGAGGATGGGGTGGCTGGGTGATGGACACCGGAGAGGATATGTGCTATGGTGAGCACTGTGAATTGTGTAAGACTGATGAATCACAGACCTGTACCCCTGAAACAAATAATACGTTATATGTTGATAATATATATATATACATATATTATATATATTATATATTAAAAGTAAAATGTTGGGGAAAAAAGATATACCAAGCAAACATTAATAAAAGAAAGCAAGAGTGTTATATTGTTATTAGATAAAAATGACCTTTTTTTAAAGATTTTACTTAATGTATTTGACAGAGATAGACACAGTGAGAGCGGGAACACAAGCAGGGGGAACAGGAGAGGGAGAAACAGACTTCCTGCAGAGCAGGAAGCCCAATGCTTGGCTCGACCCCAGGACCCTGGGATCATGACCTGAGCTGAAGGCAGACGCTTAACGACTGAACCACCCAGGCGCCCCTAGATAAAAATGTCTTTAGAACAAAGAAAATTACCAAGGACAAAGAGGAACCATTATATAATGATAGAAGGGTCAATCCACCAAGAAGACTCAGCAATCTAAACTTTAATGCACCAAACAAAAGAGCTACAAAATGTATAGAAATGCAAAAACTGATAGAACTGAAAGGAAAAAACGACAAGTCCACTGTTGTAACTGATTTGTATATGCCTCTCCCAGCAACTGATAAGAACTACTTGGCAGAAAATGAACAAGAATATAAAAGAACTCAACAACCCCATCAACCAAAGTATCTAATCCTTTCATGTACCCATGGAAGATGCACCAATATAGACCATAATCTTGACCATAAAACAAAACTTAACCATTTCAAAAAAATTGATCTAATATGAATTATATTCTCTTGCCACAGTGGAATCAAACTATGTATCAGTACTAGAAAGACAACAGGAAAATCTCTAAACGCTCTGAAACAAAATAATATACTTCTAAACAATCCACAGGTAAAAGCAGAAGTCTAAAGGGAGCTAAAAAGTACATAGAACTGAAAGAAAATGAAAATCATATCATAATTTTTGGGGCATAGCCAAAGCCATGCTGAGAGGATATTTATAGCACTAAATGCTTACATTAGAAAATAGAAAATGTCTCAAAACTATACTCTAACTTTCTATATCAAGAAACCAGACAAAGAAGAGAACAACATATCAAAAGCAAGCAAAGGAAGGAAATAATACAGACAAGGGCAAAAATTAGTGGAAGTGTAAACAGGAAAATAATAGAGAAGATCAATAAAACTGAAGTCTTGTTCTTTGAAAAAAAAAATGATAAAATTGAGAAGCCTCCAGCAATGCTGACAAAGAATAAAGTAGACACAAATGACTAGTACTAAGAATTAAATAGGGGATAGTAATACAAACCCTGCAGACATAAAAAAGATAATAAGGGAATACTATGAACAACTATACAGTATAAATTTGATAATTTAGATGAAATAGATTACTTCCTTGAAAAATACAAGTTACCACAACTCACCCAATATGAAACAAATCATTTGAGTAAACCTATAACTATTAAGGAGTTGAATTTGGTTTTTTTTAAACTCCCAAAAAGACAAATCTCTAGGCCCAGATATTTTTACTAAAGGATTTTACCAAATGTTTAAAGAAGGATTAATACCAAGTCTATACAGTCTTTTCTAGAAAATAGAAAAGAAGAAACACTTCCCAATTCATGTTATGAAGCTAGTATTCTCCTAATACCAAAACCAAAGAGAATACAAAAAAACTATACACCAGTGTTTCTCATGAACTTTGATGCAAAATCCTCTGAAAGAGTTTTTCAAAGAAAAAGGTTTCGAATGCACTTTCAATAGACATCCCACCACCAGAGATAATATCAAGGATGTCTCCAAGATTCAGATTCTGCAAAGCTTAAGTTTTCCCCACACCACTGTCTTTTTATAATACACAGTGTGCCACTAAAAGTATTTTATTTAAATTTCACAAAAATGACATCAGGTCCAATATTTGGATGACCAACAAAGGTTTAAGACCAATAATTTAGATATTGGCCTCACTTAAACAGAGCTAGATTATCTTTTTAATCCTTTCTTGCATAAAGATGTACTCTTTAGCCATATCCCCTTAACATCTATCTTCTTCTGTCCTCCCTTCATTGTAGGGGAATTTACTGTTCCAGTAGTCTCTATCATTCTACAAATCAGAAAAAGCAAGGCATTGGCCTCTCCCATCTCTTACCACAAGGGGTGAGGTGGGGCGGTAGAATGAAAAATAGAGAAGATGAGGGCAAAGGTATAAATTAGAGTCAAGTTGTGCTATAGCAGTGAGGAAAGAATAAGGCCATTCCACAGCAGGGAACAGTATTTTTAGAATGCTTACCTGAATGCTAGTTATTCAATATAAGTGAAAGTCTGAACAAACTATAATGCAAGACTTGTTTAATCAAAGCATAATCAACTCTCCTGAAACAGGATTTTTACTTTACTTTCTGTTCTTAATTAAGGGAAGCATCCTTGGCTAGTGGTTTGTCATTGTTGATCTCACACCCACTCTTGACCCCACCTCACCTGCAGAATATAGCGAATTTGCTGTTTTGTAAACTCTGACAATCCTTTCGGAATCAAGGATTCAATGTCTTCTGACTGTAAGAAAAGAGAAGCTTATCCATTTAACAGATGCATATTAGTATTATAATCTTAGGGTCAGTAGTTCACAGACTTCTGTGCAGCAGAGCATATTTTTAGGAACATCAAAAGATTATTTCATTTTCTGGGCATTAGTTGCTACCAACTTCATTTCTAGTCTTATCAGTTTTTTACTTTTAAAAAATTGATTATACCATATACACTATGGAAAGAACCTTGAATTCCAGGCATTTTAGGGAACAGCTTTGTGCAACCAACCAGATGTTCCATTTTTACTTTTTTTTAAGAGAGCAATTTAAGAAAGAAGATGGTTCTCAAATCCCACTAAACACTTTATTTCAGTGTATCTTTCAAATACTGGAAGGTTTTTGGGTGGTTAATATGACATTTTTAAAGGTTGATTTTTTTAAATAACGAAAATTTGGGGAAATAAAATTAAGGGCTTATTGAGGATTTATATTGAGCTATGATAACTTCTGAAAAATTAAGGTGTTGCCACAACAACATTAAGAAACTTTAACTAATTTTTTTTGGCTTGAAGAAATACAAATTTATTATCTCATAGATCTAGCGATTGGAAGTCAGGGGGCTAAAATTAATGTATCAGCAGGACTGCATTCTTTTGGTGGGCTCTAGGGGAGAATCTATTTCATTGCTTTTTTGTTTCTACAGGCTGCATGAATTCCTTGGCTGGTGGCCTCATCACTCCAACCTTGGCTTCTCTTGGCAGATCTAACTCTGTCCTCCTGTCTCCCTCTTTTAAGGACCCTTAGTGATTACATTGGATCCACCCACATAATCCAAGATAATCTCCTTACTTTAAGATCCTTAATTTAGTCATATTTGCAAAGTCCCTTTTGCCATGTTAAAGTAACACATTCAAAGGTTTCGGGGATTAGGATGTGGACATCTTTGGGAGGCCATTATTCTGTCTTCCACATCATCTTATTGCCCTCATTCTGAAGCTCATATCCATGTAGTTTCCTTTGTGAGGTCTAGATCCAAAAGAGGGAGATTCTAATAGAGGCAGAGTCTCCCTCTCCACCTGCCCAAGACCCTCCTCCTTGGATGAATGACCAAGAATCCACTTCCTCAGAGCATATCTTGCCCTCTTCCACAGGGGGTGACCTTTCTCTATGGCTGTTGCAAGACAAGTTCATTACAATACCATCCAGTACCCCTGACTTCAGTACCCCTCCCCCAAACCATAGAAGAATGATATCCTTACAAAAACACAGAGAGCTGGGCTCCTGGATGGCTCAGGCAGTTAAATGTCTGACTCTTGATTTTGTCTCAAGTCATGATCTCGGGGTCCTAAGATCAAGCCCCACCTTGGTCTCAGTGCTGAGTGTGGAACCTGCTTAAGATTCTCTCTTTCCCTCTGCCTCTGCCGCTACCCCTACTCACACACACACTCTTTCTCTCAAGTAAATAAATACATCTTAAAAAAAAAACAAAACAGAGAGGAAAGTACTGAAGCTAAGGTACTTCAGACACTTATCTCCCCAAATCCCATGCCTAGCTCACCAAGCATCATTGTCTTCTTTTTTTTATTCAAGTGTAATTAACATGCAGTTATATTAGTTTCAGGTGTACAATATGATTCAAAAACTGTATACATTTCTCAGTGCTTATCAAATTAAGTGTACTCTTAAGCCTCTTTATCTATTTTATCCATCACCCCACTGACCTCTCCTCTGGTGAGAAGCTTGAACTAATTTTAAGTGAGAAGCTGAATTGAAGTCAGTACTTCTTAACGGCAATCTAGGGCTTTCTGAATTATTGTAATGAATACAGTATATCAATGCATTGGAAATAAAAAAAATAACACAAAAAGGCCACTGTGCTTTTTTATTACATTGAAATCAGTTTTCCCTATTTGATGACTTATTCCATTAAAAGTTATTAACAAAATGTGCATATATAATAGAATTAATACTTGAAAAAATGTACTTTAAGTTGCTGTCTATTTGGCATGGGTCATATAAGGTTTCAAAATGCACTAAAACTAAATTTGCTATTTATTTAGTTAATGTAGGTTTCAATTTTCTAAAGCAAAGAGTATTTGGTCAATGAAATTTTAAATGTTTTGATAAGCAAAGACAAATTAAATCATAAATAACAGCTGATAAAACATTTTTGCATGAATAATTATTACTTTTATTATTATTATTTTAAATATCTGTTTATTTATTTTAAAGGGCATGCAAGAGAAAGACAGTGGAGGGGAGGGGCAGAGGGAGAGGGAGAGAAAGAACCTCAAGCAGATGCCACACTGAGCATGGAGCCCAACGTGGCTCTCGATTCCACAACCCTAAGATCATGACCTGAGCTGAAATCAAGAGTTCGAAGCTCAACCAACTGAGCCACCCAGGTTCCCCAATGATTATTACTTTTTATAGCCATTACAAATATATAAATAATTCTATCATTTTAAAGGCAAAATAATCATCATGTCTTTCACTAATCTCTGTTTCCAGTCTAATATAGGTACCAAACTAAAACAATATCATTAGTGAAAATATCAGAATCTGCTTTGTTATCAACTATATTTGATTTTCAACTATTTTTGCACTTACCTCATCTGTAGACTCAAAGTCCTCTTTGCTGTAAGAGTGAAAAAAAAAGATAGACAACTTAAGAAAATGTATATAATGATCATATATAAATGTTAGTGTTCAAATTATTTTATCTTACTTTTTGATATATCATAATAGCAACATTTCAATTTATAATTCAAATAAATTTTAAACTAAAATGGAACTTGACAAAAATAAAGATAATTTTCCTGGAACTAGCTAATCTATTACAATGAATAATATCAAAATAACAAACCAAAAGAATATAAAGAATCAGTTATTGCCATCCATTAGCACCTGTTCATTTGTGGATAGATGTACAAGTCCTTGGCACTGGCAATAAGTGCTACTTGAGTGAATTAATAACAATAATAGTTGTTCTCTATTTCTGCCTCCCTTTTCTCCTGTATTGCTTACTTTCAGTGCTGAGTCCAGCTTCTCTCCATAGAGTCTTCAAGTTATTCATACCCTTTTCATCAAAATCAAAACTTGCAAGACAAGGCTAACTCATTCAGTCTACACTACACTATATGGCAGTGACAAAACTTAAAATGTATTTGAATGTTTACATAGGGACAGGGCCTTAAGCAACATGACCAAAATTCTAGTGGGATAATAGAACTTCTAGCATCAAAATGAATGTTTGGGAACCAGGGTTGGAAGACCCTTTGCGATGCCATGTTAGGTAGGCAAATGCTGCAAAAGAATTGTTAGTGATTATGCCAGTCTGCCACTTGCTCCTTTGGGGAATAATGAAAGTGGAAAAGGGTACAGTTCTAGTGTCAGTGGCAAAAGACAGGCCTTTATTTCTGCCTACTTGCTCCATCTGTGCTTAATTGAAGAACTGGGCACAAAATATATGGTGAATATACTTCTCAAATAACACAGTAACACATGTCCTGATAGCAAGGCAGAATATTTTAAAGATGGTCATATAAAATCAGAGGTATATGAGTGCTATATCTCCAGTATAAGAGTAAAGTATTTTAGAGATATGTTAGGACATTAGCTCCTACCTTTACCTTCTAAGTAAGTGCTTATGAGTAATATATTGCTTACAGAGATAAGAGGGTCACTCACTGTACAAAACATCTTGCATATGTTTAAAAAAAAAAAGACTAATGTGGAAGAAGATAACTGAAGATTCAATTTCCTGAAGCATGACTACATATTTGCTGTTGTTTGTATGTATGTATGTGGCATTTCCTGTGTTGCCCAAAATAGAAATTGTGGAGAGGCCTTAGAAATATAAATAAATAAATAAATAAATAAATAAATAAAATATCATGTACTTTTTGAATGCTTTATTAAAGTAATGGCATGCATATACTGGGGGTGACAACAAGTTAAAAATATTAATCAGTGCAGTTTTAGTCATCTTTCATTACTATTAACTGGAATTATCACAGTATTAATGGACCTTTCTGTTAAAAATTCCACTTCCCAAGCCAACCTAGTACATGTGTCCTTAGTCATTTCTTTCTACAAATAAGAAAACAAAACAAAGAAATAAAGCAAGGAACAATCAACAGCACTTAATACTGCAATGTTTTAAAGTAACCAGAATGGTTTCGTGAGACAACTTGCCTTAATTCTGACCCTGAACCCACTCATTGCTTAATTGTAACATGGAAAAAGAAAAAAAGTGGGGACAAAAGGAGAGGACAAAAGAGGGGACAAAGGAGGGGACAAAAGAGAGAGAGTGAAAACAAAGACAGCAGAGCAAGGAGGTGGAGAGGTCAATGTGAATTACATCTCCAACCTCACCAGGGGATAGTTGCTAGAATTACAATGGGCAGGAAACAAAACAAAACAGAAAACAGTGGCAAGAGAGGAGGGGAACATAGCAGCAGAGTAGGAGGACCCTAGGTTCCTCAATTCCCATGAACACAACTAGAGTACTATCAAATCATCCTAAACATCTTAGAAATTGACCTGAAGATTGACAGAACAAATTTCACAACTAAAGGGAGACAAGAGGCCACATCAAAGAAAGTAGGAAGTGTGGAGATGTGGTTTAAGGGAAAAATAGATTCTGGGTGCTGTGGAGGGGAGAGCCATGGTCACGGAGAAGGGTGAGAGAGAGAAGAGCACACAGGGAAACCCACATGGAGAATGTTTTCCCAAAGCCATTGGCTTGGCCAATGAGAAGGGCTGAATTTAGTTAGACCTTGCAACCAGCAGGGCTTAAAGCCTGTTTTTAAAGGACAGCAGGTCTGGCTGAGATAGAGCCCTAAGAGCACTGCTCTGCTCCTGGAGAGAAGGCAGGCAAACAACCTGGGGGCAGATGGTATGGCAACAAAGATCTGAAGTATGCCTCAGGCACACAGTAGAGAGATGATACACTCCTCTCAGAGCACGTCACTGAGAGGCAGCTTTCACAGAGGCCTCTCTGAGAAGAAAGGAGCTGGATGGCAACATTTCCTATCCCCACCCCAGCATAAACAGAGAGCCACCTGTAGTAAGCAGTTCAGTGGGGACACTGGCTGCCTAACTTGCTTATACCAACCCAACCTGCCTGTGCTTTGGTGGGACTGCCCTTCTAGGTCAAGCATACCTCAGTACCAGCACAGTGGGCCCCTCCTCCAGAAGACCTGCCTAAACCCCTGCTCACACTACACCTGCAGGGCCTCAGTCCTGGTAGAGTTGGTGTCAAGTCTCATTTCACAAGTAGACCAGATCACACTGAGTAAAAACTCACCACATTCAGGCCAGGTACCAAACACTGCTCACAGCAGGCAAGGAGAGCCTAGGTAGATGACTGACCTGAAGGATACCACAGCCAAAATATCACCACAGAGTGCACACAGCACATATGAGAGACACTCCCTGAAGTGCCAGGCTCTGGGCACTAGAAAACCTCTTCCTCAGAAGGACATTAATTTCAGGAGCAGGAGACATAAGAGAGTAGCATGATATATTCAAAGTGCTGAAGGGGAAAAATCTGCAGTCAAGAATATTCTATTCAGCAAGGCTAACATGAAGAATAAGAAAGATATCTTCCCAGACAAACAAAAACTAAAGGAGTTCATGACCACTAAACCAGCTCTGCAAGAAACATTCAAGGGGACTCTAAGTGCAAAGGAGAGACCAACAGTGACAAAGACAAGAAAGGATGAGAGAAAATCTCCAGAAACAATGACAAAAAAGTAATAAATGCATATAAACCAATAATTATTTTGAATGTAAATGGACTAAATGCTCCAATCAAAAGACATAAGTGTCAGAATGGATTAAAAAACAAGACCCATCTATATGCTGCCCACAAAAGACCTATTTTAGACCTAAAGACACCTGTAGATTGAAAGTGAAGGGATGGAGAAACATTTATCATACAAATGGATGTCTAAAGGAATCCTGAGGAACAATACTTATATCGCACAATCTAGACCTTAAAACAAGGACTGTAACAAGAGACAAAGAGGGGCTATATAATCATAAAGGGAAAAATCCGACATGAAGATATAATAATTGTAAATATTTATGCACCCAACATGGAAGCACCCAAATACATAAAACAGATAATAACTAACATAAAGGAACTAATGGATAATAATACAATAATAGTAGGGGACTTTAACACCCCACTTACATCAATGGACAGATAATCCAAACAAAAAATCAACAAGGAAACAATGGCTTTGAATGACACACTGGACCAGATGGACTTAACAGATATATTCAGAACATTCCATCCTAAAACATGAGAATACACATTCTTTTCAAGTGCACGTAGGACATTCTCCAGAAGAGATCACATATTAGGTCACAAAACTGGCCTCAACAAATACATAAATTTGAAATCATACCATGCACCTTTTCTGACCACAACACTATGAAAAAGACATCAACCACAAGAGAAAACTTGGAAAGACCACAAATACATGGAGCTTAAGCAAAATGTTACTAAACAATGAATCAGACAAACAGGAAATCAAAGAAAAATCCATGGAAACAAATGAAAATGAAAATAAAATTGTCCAAAACCTTTGGCATGCAGCAAAAGTGATCCAAAAGGGAAATATATAGCAATACAGGCCTACCTCAAGAAGCAAGGAAAATCTCAAATAAACAACCTAAACTTACACCTAAAGGAGCTACAAAAAGAAAGGAAGTAATAGAGATTAGAGCAGAAATAAATGATATAGAAACAAAAAAAGGTAGAAAACTCAATGAAACCAGGAAATGGTTCTTTGAAAAAAATTAATAAAATTGATAAGCCTCTAGTCAGAATTATCAAAAAGATAAGCACCCTAATAAATGAAATTATAAGTAAGATAGGAAGAATAACAGCTGACACCACAGTAATACAAACAATTAAAAGAGAATATTATGAAAAGCTATATGCCAAGAAGTTGGACAACCTGGGAGAAATGGATAAATTCCTAGAAAGATATAAATTACCAAAACTGAAACAGGAAGGAATAAAAAACTTGAACAGCAATAACCAGCAAAGAAGTTGAATCAGAAAACAAAAAACTCCCAACAAACAAAAGTCCGGGGCCAGATGGCCTCACAGGAAAATTCTACCAAACATTTAAAGTAAAGCTAATACCTATTCTTCTCAAAATATTGCATGAAATAGAAAAAGAAAGAAAACTTGCAAATTCATTCTATGAGGCCAGCATTACCCTGATACCAAAAGCAGATAAAGACTCCACACACACACAAAAAAGAGAAATACAGACCAATATCCCTGATGAACATGGATACAAAAATTCTCAATAAAATACTAGCAAACCAAATCCAACAATACATTAAAACATTCAGCACAATCAAGTGGGATTTATTCCTAGGTTGCCAGTGTGATTCAATATTCACAAATCAATCAAAATGATACACCACATTAATAAAAGAAAGGATAAGAGTAACATGATCATTTCAATACATGCAAAGAAAGCATCTGACAAAGTATAACATCCATTCATGATAAAAAAAACGCTCAGCAAAGTTTAGGGGGAACATGACCCCAACATAATAAAGGTCATATATAAAAACCCACAGCTAATATCCTCAATGGGGAAAAAC